TTCGAAGACACTTTCAAAAGTTGACATTATATTCTTGCATTTCCAATCACAGCTAAGGAAAATGGGGAGTTTGGGAGCGGTCTGTTAGACTGGGCCATTGTGACCGCTCTTTCTGATTCACTGCACCGCATAATAGGCAGTGCATCACGACATGACCCATGGGAACTTTTCATTCTTATTCCCTTTCTCTCAGCCCCCTTCATTCCAGGCGCTTTCTCACAATAGGCTGCTGCTCCAGCACTGTCCTCTCCAGGTCACCCTGCTCCCAGAATTCTGCAGCAACGGACAACGCCACCTACAGGACACAGTCAGTGATAAACTTAGATTTATGCCCTTTATAGATGCATTTGGAGAGATGCGAATATGGATTTTACGTGTAACTAGATTTCAAATATATTAACTGTGCATTAGAGACCATTAATGACTTAAACCAAGCAGAAATCGCTACATAACGATTCCCACTGAGACAGACCTGGCACATGTCCCATTTGCAACTATAAAATTTGGCTCTATCATTGTTCTTGGAACTACTTCCACGAATATAATAACCAAAAAACCATCTGCAAGAAGAATGTTGATTTTTTAAAAATGCATGACATCCGGCAGAATATAATCTCACGCATGTGAGATGATCTACATTACCGTCTGCTGTGAAACGCATATAATAATGAGTGTTCAACAATGAATGTAAACAACCCATCCATGGATACATTATCATATGAATGGGGTTTCAGACCCATTATGCTGAGAGCCCAGCGATTTCATTTTCCTATGCAGTCACACCCTTGGCTGCCCTACATGTTTGAACACGTCGCTGTGGTATCAGGCTTTGCATGTGACATTGCATTATGCATTAGGAATATCTAACCTTGCTCTGAATCTCCCATTGGCTTGGCAATAGCTGACAAATCACAGGCAGTCATCATCATAGCCCTGCGGTGTATAAAACCAAAACACCATGCTGTGAATTCATATTTATGAACCTTAAAAGGCACCAAATTCAAGCTGCTGCATATTATATTCTGTGGTATATAAAGCAGCTTATTGAGCAAACAGCTATTATAGGTGATATTAGTTATTTAGCAGGTTACTTTTGCACAGCACGTACATCACAATCTCTTTCCGAGTTGTTTCGTACATCATGTATTTGGTCCAACCGTCCCAGCTCTCGTAGGTCTTGGACTGATCCACGATCTTCTGAAACATGGCCCTTTTCCTGCAGAGGCACATCATGAATAAATTCATGTTAATCACGCTTATGCAGCTCTGACTGCAAGACTAACTCTGAATAAATGATTCACAAAAGCCAAGTACATCCCACACAGCAGAAAAAAAACAAAACAATTCTTACTTGAAATACAAGGCCAAGTCTGTTGCGATGATAGCTATGTCCATCAAATGGATGACGGTTTCGTGCTGTCTTCGGTTCAAATTCTGGTAGATATTTAAGGCCTTGGAAAACAATTTATTTCAGTGAGGAAACTGCTTGCTGTGAGTGAGGAGGCAGTTATTTATGGGCTTATCAACTAGATGCACATTCTCAATGGTCTGCAGAGCTCAAAAATGCAATGATGACAATTGCTCAGAAATGTAATTAATTTTCAGCATTACCTCATCTCTAAGCAGAGTTTTTCCAAACTCTAGATGGTGCCTCTCAAGAATGGAGGAACCATGCAGCTTTGCCAGTGGATTCCCAGACCTGGCAAAGTCATCACAGAAATGGAATCTTAAAACCTAGAAGGTCACAGACTTTCAGTAAAAATAAACGCAAATAGGCATGATGCAATGTGCTATGCAGTTTGCATAAATTTAACGATTTTAATAATTTAAATGTAAACGTTGGCTCCTTAGATCTTTGATTAGGGTGTATTTTGAATGCAAATAAAAATGCATCTTTGACCACTGAATTACATGATTATTGTAAGCATGATAACTTATGCCATTCTCTACCCCCTCTCATTTCATTTCAATGCATGTCACTTTTTTTCTCAGTGGAGCACAAAATAAAAATTTTTTCAAAATGTCTCTACATACTGTAAAAATGTTGCTCAGTAGCTGTCAAGTTGCAATTTTCCTCGGTTAATGCATATCCGGTCAGGTTTTGAACCCATCTGTTTGCACGCTAAACAAAAATGCTGCCACAAAACTTGTCTGACATCTAAATAAAGTACTACTAAGTTACATTGATTTAGAAGAATGTGTTTTTAGTCACATCTTATCCTGCATAGTGACCCACTGGTGCATGATACCCCTGGTAGTGGATGTTGGTGATATAAAAATGAAAATGTCTCCACACTATATTTCTGAATATTGTAATACATACACATTTTTCTTTAGTAAGAGCAGTGGGACATTGACTTTAATGAGTGCATACTTCATCTGGTAGAGGTTGTTAATGCCGCGGTGGTCAATATCATGACAGAGCCCAGCGGTCACCATCGCCATCGTCTCCAGGTCCGTATAATAGCGCTTCAGGTCACCTGTCTGAGACACAAAAGAGCAGGTTTAATAGGCTTCAAGGCGGAGCCACGTTAAGACACACCCCCTACTCTTGTAGAGCAAGAGGCTGACTAGTGAGGGCTCATTAGGCTCAGTGAAGCATGGGAGTAGTGCCGAGAAAGGCTCATTAGCAGCCTGGCTTGCGTTTCTTCCAGCCCTCCAACACACCATCCTTCCTGATGTACAGCCAGCTCGCAGTGATTACACATGATATAACCAGGAGCAGGTTTACACTCGGCTGATTAATTAGACGGGGCCGTCTGCCATTTCAGAGAATGCGTGTTGGAGATGGGCCGTATCATTAAACATAGTCCCTAAAAAAGGCCCACGACTCTAGCACCCACTAAAGAGAGGGGCAAATGTATCAAATGCTCTGTTGCAAGGCTAACATAGCTGGTTTGTTTATTTATTTTTTTTGTTTGCAGGGTGAGAACAGTAAATGTATTCATAGCTAGGGCTTCACTAGCTTTTGCTGAGCAAGATGAGGTGTTGTCTCTGAAGCGAGAGCAGATTTGGAGAGGGGTTGAGATGAGATTTTTAGGCCCCCTTAACAGCGTGTAGAAATGAAATGTTTGAAATGTCATTCCGAGAGGTTTTTCTCTTACCATGAGCAGTGTAAACATGGTCTGGCCCACATTGAAGCCATGCCTCCAGTTGTGGTAGGTGATCCTCCTGTAACCTTTACTGACTGAGTACACAAAGCGCACCAGGGTCTAGAGAGAAATCAATTTCAGCTAAGTCTTACAAGGCATAGCAAATATTGTATTTACTTTGTCTGTACAGTGTGCAATAAAATATCTTAAAGAGAGTGCACTGAAACACAGTGTATTTTTAGACGAATTGTAGCAGCAGTATTTAGTGATGCTTGGTAGGACGAATGTACATAAATCATTGATGATAACTTGAAAAATGAAACTTGGGTGCATATCCTGTTTGTTTTGTAGACATGAATTATATCTCGTTTTGAAAATGATAAAATGAATAAAAATTCATTGAAAGAGGGACCCAAGCCATCTAGAGACCAGGGCCAGATTCACCTAAATCTTCCTAAGGAAGAAATGTCATTATTTATATTATCGCTCACTAGTGTTACTTCAGAGTATGAAACTCTTTCCACATTTATATAGTATAGTCACGTGAGGAGATATATAGTATAGCGAATCTCAACTGTCTGTTTTTTTATTTCATTGCAAAATGTAACTATATTGTTGTCCAACTGTTTATATAATATTGGATATCCAAGTGTGTCCAACTATATACGCATACATAGGGCGATATATACTATATAGCATTTCTCAACTGCTTGATTCCTTGTATTGTCTCAAACTGTATTATCGGCCATCTGAATCTGCTTTGAAACAAAACGTATTGTGAAAACGGCTATAAATTTGACTTGGCTTGTCATTTTGCCTTTGGGTATTTAAGACAAGTTAAAGGTTTCAATTATTACAATGTATTGGAAGTATTACTGTACAATGAGTTTTAAGATTTTTTTCAGGTATTTAAATTCTTCTTAGATTTTGACTTCAGAAAAAAAAGAAAAGAAAAGAACATTCTTAAGAAATGTTGCTTGGAAATATTCTTAACTTTAAGTTAGAAAATAGAAAGAATTTTATTTGTATTTTGCATTTTTTGTGAATCTGGCCCCAGGAACATTAATGTGGCTTGTTTTGTCATATAAAGTAAGCAAACATCATCCCAGAACAACCATAACCTCTTACATTTTCTTTAGTTAGATACAGTATATAGTCAAAATATACCAACAGGATTTGAGTTGTCATTATCACTCACCTCACGTGGAATATGGAATTTGTCTACCACACCCAGTTCATAGTACATCTTGATGCCACACTTCACCAGGTCCAACTCACTGAACTCAAAGTCACAAGAAGTGAAACTCAACGATCTCTGATTCCTCCGAGTCTGGTAGTGTTTCGTACTGCAGAGAGAGACATCACAGCTGAACACACACACAGCTATAAAACAACTAGACTTTAAACTTGGAGAAACCCACCATGATATTCTGAATCTCATCTTTCCTGCACTTGACGTGGTACATGACCATGTCCTGAAAGATGTCCTTGCGATTTTCCAGCTTGTTCATCTTGTCATACGTGTCTGTATTCAGCACTGACCAGCCCAGGAACTGAGTGAGCAACTGAAACAGATTCAGGTTTAGATTTACATTCATGTACACAAATAGGTTGAGATTCAGATTCATGTTTAGGTTCAGATTCACATTTACATTCAGTTTCAGAATTACTGCAGGTTGAGATTCAAGTTCAGATTCACATTTACATTCAAGTTTACAATTACGTTCAGATTCGTGTTCAGGTTCACATTTAATGTGGATTGAGATTCCGGTTTAGATTCACCTTACATTCAGGTTCACAATTAGGTTGAGATTCAGATTCATGTTTAGGTTTAGATTCACATTTACATTCAGGTTCAGAATTGCTGTAGGTTTAGATTCAGGTTCTTCACATTTACTGTAGGTTGAGATACATTTTTATGTTCACATTTTCATTCAGGTTCACATTTACTGTAGGTTGAGATACATTTTTATGTTCACATTTTCATTCAGGTTCACATTTACTGTAGATTGGGATTCAAGTTCAGATTCAGATTCACATTTACATTCAGGTTCACATTTACTGTAGGTTGAGATACATTTTTATGTTCACATTTTCATTCAGGTTCACATTTAATGTAGATTGAGATTCCGGTTTAGATTCACCTTTACATACAGATTCACAATTAGGCTGAGATTCAGATTCATGTTCAGGTTCACATTTAATGTAGATTTAGATTCCGGTTCAGATTTAGATTTAGATTCACATTTACATTCAGGTCCATTACTGTAAGTTGAGATTCAGGTTTAGATTCACACTGCTCATACAGGTTCACATTTACTGTAGGTTGAGACTCAGGTTTAGACTCACACTTTCATTCAGGTTCACATTTACTGTAGGTTGAGATTTAGGTTCCGGTTCAGATTTAGATTCACATTTACATTCAGGTTCATTACTGTAAGTTGAGATTCAGGTTTAGATTCACACTTCTCATACAGGTTCACATTTACTGTAGGTTGAGATTCAGGTTGAGACTCAGGTTTAGACTCACACTTTCATTCAGGTTCACATTTACTGTAGGTTGAGATTTAGGTTTAGATTCACATTTACATTCAGGTTCACATTTACTGTAGGTTGAGATACATTTTTAGGTTCACATTTTCATTCAGGTTCACATTTACTGTAGGTTGAGATTTAGGTTCAGATTCAGGTTTAGATTCACATTTACATTCAGGTTCACATTTACTGTAGATTGGGATTCAGGTTCAGATTCAGATTCGCATTTACATTCAGTTTTACATGTACTGAGATTCAGGTTGAGATTCAGGTTTAGATTCACATTTACATTCAAGTTTACAATTAGATTCAACTTTACGTTCAGATTCACAATTAGGTTGAGATTCAGATTCATGTTCAGGTTCACATTTAATTTTTTAGGTTCACATTTTCATTCAGGTTCACATTTACTGTAGGTTGAGATTTAGGTTCGGATTCAGGTTTAGATTCACATTTACATTCAAGGTTCACAAATACTGGAGGTTAAGATTCAAGTTTAGATTCATATTTTCAGTCAGGTTCACATTTACTGTGGGTTGAGAGTCAGCTTCAGATTCAGATTAAGATTCATATTTACATTTAAGTTCACATTTAGGATGGGATTCATCCTCAGATTCACATTCAGTTTCAGATTCACACCAAAATAAATGAAACAACAAGAGAACAAGAAGATTAAAACATTCTGTTAGTCAAATCGGGTGGAAATTAATGGAAAAACTAAAAAAGCCTCACATCTCCACAGGGAACCTGATTGAACTCAACTGAAAGTCTCTGTGGACTGTAGCACTAAGATAAAACAGACACATTTGTACAAAGTACTTTTTAGAGACTTTAGAAATTTGGCTTAGCAGTTTAGTTGAATCCAACCAACCCAGCATAATAAATTGAAAACAGGGTAAACTTTCACTACACTATGAAATGTTCTCAATGAAATGTTCAAAAATAAATAATGCAGAGTCTGCTGATCTATCCATTACTATATATTTAGCTATGACACACTACTGTTCTATACTGTGGCCTCAAATACCTCCATTAGTGTTTCGTCCATGTCATCAAAAGGCTTTCCATCTTTCCTGTTATAGAATGTGGCCACGCCAACAATTTCCTCTTTCTTGTTTATGATGGGCAAAGAGAGTACATTCTTTATTGTCCATCCAGATTCATCCAGAGACTCTTTCTGGCAGGACAAAAACAAACTTTAACCAAAATACATTTCGGGAAAATTTCAATAAAATTTTGTAGATATACAAAATGCTGAGGTGTACAGCTTTTATTTTTGAAACACTTCTAATTAAATTGCATTCACTATTATTATTATACAGGGCTTTCATAGGTGCGTAAGTTAAGGTGAGCTCACTTGAAAGTCAAAGAACTCGTCTTCAGCTGCGTTCATGATATTACAGATCTGTAAGACAGAGTGAAGAGAAAGCAGCAGTCACGCTCACTGAGAAGGGGCATTGCTTTCTGATTAATTACTGTTCACAAAATTACAATTATCCATCATTTCAGTGTGGGAACACATTCTATTCCCCCTCGCTGTGCACATGACAGGAACATTATAAACCATAATAGCTTCCAACTTGTCTGACTACTGTGGCATCAAGAGAGGAGAATGGAGGTCTAGACTCTCACCAGGCCGTTCTCTGCAACGTAGGTGGGAAGTCCACTTACTAATGCCCAGTGGTCAGCTGGAGGGTTACTGTAACGACAATGCATGTGTGTCTGAACAGAACAATCCAGCACTTTTCTTTAAATGGATCCCATTTTTATTTTCTAGGTAGTCTAGAAAAATCTAATATATGCATTAAAAGTTGTAAAAATTATTTTTAGTAACATTTTAATAACACTGTCTCTTATTTGAAATACAGTAAAAAAACAGTAATACTGTCAAATAATATTACAATTTGTAATAACTTTTCTTTTGTAACATTTTTTAAATGTCATTTATTCCTGTGATGCAAAGCTGAATTTTCAGCATCATTACGCCAGTCTTCAGTGTCACATGATCTCATTTGAATATGCTGATTTGATGCTTAAGAAACATTTATTATTATTATTATTATAGTTGAACAGATATGCTTTTTTTTACCCACATGATTCTTTGATGAACAGAAAGTTCAAATATTTACTGTCACTATTGATCAATTTAATGCATCCTTGCTAAATAAAAAAAAACATTTTGAATGGTAGTGTATATATGCTAAGAATATGAAGATTTGTACTTTCAAATAACACTAAAATAATTATGTCTTAGACCTGGCTCAATAGGAGGGCCTACTGTAGATGGGCCCAGTCATGAGTTTGACCCACCCTTGCAAACATCCATAACGGTCTGACCCACCTTACATCTTGGAACTGGAGAGCCAGACATGCTATTTCTTGATACAGTTATGTTTATAATTACAATGCATGTAATGTAGAATGATGCATGATAATGCATGTGGCAATACTGGGCTTAATTAAATGCCAAGTGGAAGCTCAAATTTAACAGGCAATATAAAATGCATTAACTTACGGAATGACTTTGATGTCCTCCTTTCCATGCAATATGTAATCAATCACTTTGTAGAAAATCACTTCCTGGAGCAGAATTAATACCGTAAGTCAAACATGTGACAGCATGTAAGAATTCATTTCTCTAACATGACTAACTAAACACATATTCCCCATTTATTCGGTGTATCACTCACTCTGCCATCAGGGGTCTTTGGTCCACTATAAGGAGGCACCTTTCCCATCAGTATGGGCCAAAGATCAAAAAACTCCTACAGACAAATAAACAAAAATCTAATTATTTCAATACTCTTCAACAGACAAATTACAAGTTACAAATCCAGCTGCATATTTGATGCAATAAATAACTAATGAATCACTTAAGTTTTAGTCATGTCGAGGAGGCCCACAGAGTAGCGGTCGCAGTTGAGGAAGGCTCGGACTGTATAGAGGGCCTTGTGGAACTGTCGTTCAATGTCAGTCAGCTCCTCAAACACTTTGCTGGCAGACCAGAGCAACACCTGCAACGCAGATGTGAGGAAAAATGACAAGATCACGGAGTGGCAGTGTTTACGGGTCAATGTCTTAAATCCCAATCTCCCAGAAATCCCACCTGTCCTCTTCTGGTTTCACAGTTGTGCAGGTAGCTCAGGTGAAAAACTCGAAGCACAAGATTGGCAAAGTTGAGATATTTCTTCAGCGTCTACAAGACACAGAGCTCGATTTACTTCAACAGAGCGTTTAATCTGTTCTGTAGAAGTCTGTTTAATCAAAATGCTTTTACTGTATTAATATTCAATGAAAACATTTGAGATTAAAAGTATGTGTGGGAAGCACAATGCATATAATTAATCTTTCTGGCATTGTTTACGTTTCAAATTGGCATCCTCACCGAGACTCCGACTTATTGTTGAGCATAAACACAAAGCGCTGTACTCGCTATCACAGAGAGTGATATGAGTGAATGCTACCTCTTCATCCTGAGCAGTGAAATGAGGAGCGCCAATCTTGTTGACCGCCATCATGACGGCCACCATGTCCTTGCCGTTCATGATGGGAGTCGCGAGCACGTTCTTGGTCTCGTACTCTGTGAGGGTGTCTACGAAGTCACTGAAGTGGCTGTCCTGGAGAGTGAAGCACATTTAAACTTACTGTAACATTAATATGTTATGGTTATTGTAATTTAGCTTTAAATAAAGGTAGCTTATTTTGTGCTCTGTTGGAAATCCTTCACCTAATTTGGTGTTCCTGGTCAAAAATGACTGGCCTTTTAAATTCAATGCAGCACAGGTTTTTCTTTTTGGATTTGATTTGACCTCATTGGTCTGAGCTTATGCACCATCAGTTTTTGAGTGACAAAAGCATTATTTGTGAATCATTTTGGCAATGTTCACTCAAAAACTGAGGTGCATAAGCTCAGATGATTGAGGCCTACGATCAAAAAGGTTTCAAAAAGGAATACAAAATCTGTGTTAGTTGAAAGAAAACAGTTTAATAAAAAGATTGAATCCAATGTTTGGTAATAAAATAGCATGTGGTGTTCCCATTTTTACCTCGGAACACCACAAGTGTATCGAGCTAGGAAAAAATAGTCAATGACCAGTACATTTGTTACAATATTTATTTTATGGTCTCTTTGTTACAAAGTAATATAGTAATAACAGTAAATTATGCATAATTGCATGCAACTAACCTTAAACCAAACCCTAATCTAAACATACTCCGTACATACCTAGTACACATTATATTAATCAGTAATTGTATAATTACACCTTTTAAAAAAGCTGCAACCTAATATTTAATAACCTTTGTTAATATCAGTTAGCAAAAATACAGCTGTTCATTGTTATAAAACTTTGAAATGTTGACATAATTTTACTGATATTACAACTAATATGTATACTAATATTTATAAATGCATTGGGAGTATTTTTTTAACTAATGTAGTTAGCTAACATTAACAAAAAGAAGTCTATTGTAAAGCATTACCAAATATTTTTAATTCAGTTTAATTAAATATTTTGTAACACTTTATTTCACAATTTCTATTTACAGTATAGTTCAATACACATTGTTAGTTAACATTATTTAATAGCATAATTACACTGTGACTAGGATAAAATCAAGTGCAGTCAAATATAGTTTGTGGTTTTCATGGGTCAACATCAAAACATACATTCTGGATAATATTTAAATAATGGATATCATTGAATTTCTCTCAGGTGCCTCTGAAATATTAAAGGGGTCATATGATGCTTTTTTAAAGATCATTCTTCCACATTAACACTAGAAAGGGAGTGTAAAATGTAGATTCAAGGTAAACACTGATATTCTGCTGATTTGAGGAACACGGCGTACACGGCGTTAGGCATTGACCTTTAGATTTAATCCAGGATTGCTCTAATTCAACTCAGATTAAAGACTTTTATCCCCTCCATAACACACTGTGTGAGAGTGTTGACCTGCGCTAATCCAGCACTGGCCTTGCATATTAACAGAGCTCCAGTGCACATAAAAAGAGAAGAAATCTCACTCTCAAAATGTTCAAAATCCCTCACTTGTTCGGTTTAGGAAGCAGGCAACACTTTTCGCATATGCAAACCGTATATCTGTGGATATTTGTGGTTAGTCAGCAGTCTGTCAGACATCTGAAACTGAGATAGCAAGTTGTCGCCACCTCCAGGGTTTCAAATACACCCGCTTGGTATTTTGGTCACACAACGCAAAGATTGAGATCCGCCATTTTTTTCTAAGTGATTATGAGCACTACAGAGGAAAGTATATTGCTGTATGAGCAGTGAAGCACAC